TTTTTATCTTTGGTTGACAAAAGGGGAATTCGTTTTAATTTTGTTTATTAATTTGAAAAGAGTCGAAATATAATACAAGATTGATAACAATCTGTCAACCGTAAGAAATATGAATACTGACAGAAGGACCATATACAAAATCAATACACAATTATAAGGGCGATACTACAAATATTGATGGACTATGTCACAGTCGGAAATCACTTTTGTTCGTATTGTATTTCATGAAAAATGAGTGAATAAATATGTTTTTTTCCAAACGATTTAGTTGCTTTTGTAAATAAATATCGCTTTGCATCTTTAAGCATACTTATTGTTATTCACGTTTTTGCTTTATCATGATACCGCATCGATGACTGCTATCCATTCATATGTTTTTTGTGGTGACCCTCTGTTAAGTGGTTGCCTGATGGTAGATGGTGAATTTGGGTTATTTGTTTCTTTCTCCCCTACCTATTTCATCATATGTAGTCTTATAACCAATACTAAATTGAAGACGATACAACAAGTAACAATTCTTTTGAGTTGGTGTAAATGTGTGTTTGTTGATAATCGAGACACAATTTGTTTCATAAATTAAGGAACGTTACATGTTGATTCATAATAAGACACGTTACAATTTGATGCAATAAGATAAATCGATACATTTATCCCAAAATTTTAACAGTGTTTACCTAATTTTTAACATTTTGGAACAAAACCTGATAATAGCCTTTGTCATCATCATATATTTCAAGCGAGGCTGAATGACCGTTAAGGTTAACCAGCCTTTTGTTATGATAGCCCATGTTTTTATTTTGGATTCAAAGCTGTTTGAATATATTTTTCTAATGTAAAGGCCTCAACAGACGGTAGGGTTTAGTTGTAGAGCACTAATTAGAGATAAGATGTACAATTTTCAAAGCTATACAACACTTGCATTCAGACGGTAATTCTACACTGTAAGAATCATCTGAGGTTTCCCCTAAAAAGGATCCCTTAACATTGATCCTTTACATACAAAACTCACTAAATACTTTTTTCGCCATGAGTAATGATTGAAACACTTCCATTTAAAAAATATATATATATATAATGTGAAGCCTGACCGAGACTCAAACCTGGGACCCTTGGAATACCGTACTGCGGTTCTGCTGACTAAGCTATCTGGTAGCCTACAAACAACCTCCCCTCCTCTAATTAGAGAACAATTCAATACTTAGTCATTTCGGAATAATTTGGGATTCGAACACAATTTTGGGTCTCCCGAAGAGTTTTTCAACATCATTTTTACCCAATCTTACTACTATGTTTACCTTTTAGCCCTAGTTGTTCTGGAATTTCATTCATTACACCTATTATCAGGAGATAATTTGGTTATCTGTTACTTGTCATTGTGGGAGGTCTATAAAAATCGGTACGACAAGATTTTCAAAATAGAACACGTCCTATCCCTAACATCTAGACATAAGGTTTCCGAAATCAAGAAATAGTAGCCTTCACACATTAAGATTTGTTTGTACATCTTAGTTTAAATTGGTGTTGTACTTCAGAATCCTACGGTCTGTATGTTGAGGCCTTTACAGGTTTAAATGTTTACCACGTTTCTATAAATATATCCTTGTAAATTATTGGGAAACCAGGTCTAACGTATGCGTTGGCAGAATAATACAGGAGACTTTTAAATAAAATTTCAAGTCGTGTTAAACTTTGTACTATCCTTGTCTGTTTTACTTCACATAGATTACTGCCAACAGTCTTATACAGTTTAACATCAATGATGTTTTAACATGTCGTATATGTATGTAATAATTGGGGAAAATAGTTCGTTTAAGGACCGACTCATTTATTTATCTCTATTTATTAATATTTGTCATTAAGAGTGTCTATCTAACATATACTAAGTGTTCACCAAAAGTCGTCCACTTACAATAAAAAACGTTAAGAGCATTTTAAATTTTGAACGCAGTCTAAGTCTATTTAAATCAAAATGTCTTCCGAACTACAAACTTTAAAAACGGATAAAGACGCGTGAGACTTTAAACGTATTGAGGTTCATACATGTCTTGTCTTAAGAAGATATTAAAATATCTTACTAAATTTAACGCCACGACATTTTTTTGACACATTGGAAAAGCTTTCGTATCGATTGTAGTATTTCAAATGAATCTTAACACATTCACTTTGGTGAATCGGCAAACTGTGAATCAGTATATATAAAAAAATTAAAAACACTAAGCTTGTTGAAATTTATAAGTATGTATTTACCGCGCCTGACCAATTTAATGTTGTAAATAGGTACTACTAAACTTTGACCTATACTTAATGAACGATAACTGTAATTAGAATGAAAATATGTTTAATAGGTGCGATTAACGTCATAAAAATATGATAAATAGGTTTATTTAAAAACATGTGTTCAAATGTGTTCATTATTACGTGGATCGATACGACTTGTCAATACAACCCAAGTTCGATTATTTACATTCCAAAGTTGAAAAGCTATTTAATTTCATTGAAAGTGGGAACACGCTAGGACTCAAGATTACAAATAATGATTTACGTTTTAATGTTTTGAAAATTTTGCAGATTAATTCTAAGACTAACAAAAGGTAGCATTTTTTTTAACATCGGGTTGCCTCGCGCAAATTTAAACTGATTTCTTTCAAAGATGGAAAAATAAAATGTCTATCAAATACATAATTAATTTTATGGTTTATTGTTAGGCCTCAATATGGTTGATACTTGATTTTTTTATCGATATAAATGAAGAAATCTGGATAATTTACAACTATATTGCCTATTGCATTATATAAAGCGTAAAATGTCTTTGTGGTGGCAGGTTCAGTCAACGTTTTGAGTTCAAATGAAGATGTTTACATGTGAATGTTCGCAGCATCGTGACACTGTGTTACCAACATACACAGTATGAAGTGACAAAGTTTATGATGAATGTACATTTACACAAACATACTTGTATGTTAAAGTTAATACATAAATCATGATTTCATAATTCAGGATGTACAACAAATAAACGAATGGCTTTATATAATCATTTACTATCAAAAGCCAAATCACATTATATTAGATAATTAACACTTTGTATAGTAGATTTCAACTGTGGAAAATTGTTGGAACGCAGCATATACTTCAATATCCAAAAGGACACTACGTACGTCAGTACAACTTTAATGTTAATTATGTTTATAATTTCAATGACAAACATGTTTGACCTGAACATCGTGACACCGATAAAAGTAGGTAAAAATGTCTTGTGTTTTGCAATTATATTGACATTGTAGTCAGGAATATAGTGTCCTGCAGGTTGTTTCACTCATTTGATTGATATGTTGTTTGACGCCAATTTCGTTAGAACTGTTTAAAAGATAATGAGCTGACACATATATATATTTTATTTAAATGTTTAATTCACTTTCTATCGATGCGGGTAAACAAAGTATAATTCTGAACCCAGATTCTACATTTCTATGAGTGCATCATACATAAAGCAAACATGTATATAAACACTATTTATTTGTTAGAAACAGTACATAGACAAAAATAATAAAAATGTGTGTATGAATATTTCTCATGCGATACAAGATACAAGGAGCAAATGATTATATTAATATTATTATTTGCTTTGAGCTGTGTCGCAATATCATACATAGTTTGGACGACCGATATGAAGCTTCCACCCATAATCTTTAAGAATCCATATGTTATCCTTATCTATTACATGCTTTTCGGTGGTTTATAGAAATATATCAGTGATATAAAACTGGTAATTTCACTGTTTGAAACAGTGAAATTACCACTTTGATAATTTCACTGTTTTGAATTTAAGCCCCTTATGTTGTTTCAGTGAAATACCAGCGTGCACAGTACTGGGTACCAACTTAATGACGTGACGTCGTAAATGACGTCACGTTGTATTATTATTTGGCGCGCTTTTTCATTCAGTATAAGGTTTAATGTCTTTTTAAAACGTTTATTTGCATGTAATAAAAGAAAATTTGTTTAGTTTAGTGTAAGATTGAAATATATTTCACCTTGTGAACACCAAAAGTTCATATTTCACACGTGGCTGCGCCACTCGTGACATATACCTCTTAGTGCTCACTCGCTGAAATATATTCCGATCTTACACTGAACTAAACAAATATCCTCTATATCTCCAATTCAAAGTATCCGTATTGTGAATTACAATAAATAATTTCACCACAACACAGACACGTGTTTGTTCACGATAGAAAACACATGCCCATGTGTGTGGTGAAATGTATTGCTCCTCGCATAAATGGTCAAAGAAAAAATCCCTACTGACCAAAGTCCTTGGAAGAAACGAAACAAATTGCGAACGGGCTGGATGAATGTAATACACCCTCTAGGTTTCCAACTTTTGAAATTCGCAATAAAATAATAAGTGAATAAAACTGATACTGTAACAGTAAGGCTTAAAAATCCTAATATGCATTTCTTTTATTTCCCAGTAAATATTAACCCAATTTGACTTAAAAACAATGTTTTTGTGTCTTTAAATGTTTCCATTTAATTCTTATACATATGTGTTTTTTAATTTCAGACTGATCATGTGTTTGTTGTGTCGGTCTGCTGGTAAGTAAGCAATTAAATGCAATTTACAGGTTTGGTTTTGGCTTACAAAGTGTGTAGTTTGTTTGAACTCTTCAAGGGTCACGAACAAAATTGTCTCTTTATGACTAGAGTGCTGGTGTATATATCCCCAGTATAACAAAATTCCGCAACGTTTTAAAATAATTTTTGATTGATTAAGCCAATGAATCAGTCAAGAAATTTCAAGTGATTTAATTCATCGATGATTCATTAAACAAAATGTATTGGCAGTTGAAATAAAGACACAGAGAGACAAGCATTGTCTTTATTGTTAATTCAAATGTAACAAATCGGACATGTTTTTTTAAATTTATTTTAGATAAAACATTAGTCCACTGAAAAGGATAAAATAAAAAGACTTTAACCTTTTTTTTTTTCTAGAAGATCCTGAATTATTTGTTTCCAAATTGAGAACGAAACTTGGAAACGATGGTAACTATGGCGTATATTACTTTTTATAAAGCTGAATTAAAAGTATCAATTTCAAAGTATATATATTTATTGTGTATGTATGTGCCTTTTGTAGTAATTCATGCGTGTTTTGAAGTAGAAATTCAAAGTTGTCTGGTCATTGGATATTGTTATCTGTTATCGAAAAATAAATATATAAGTGTGATAAAACCACATTATATCACGACCAAATTGGTTCCGTTTGTTCATGTTTACGAAAGTTTATTTAATTGAATACTGATGAGATGGAATTATATATCCGCTAAAGGTTACTGAAACAGTTGAAATCTTCGTAAAATTTTATGCAAAAAGGTATGTTAATAATAAAAGCACTAGGGCATTTATTGAAATTAAAGGACTAAAAACTTCATTTCTTTATCAATTATTGTTTTAATACATGCAAACGTGTTTCTTAAAAAACACCATCAATGTTAAAGACAAAACATACTTTTCATTTTCATAGAAGTACAATACATCGCTTTCTTGCAATTTAGTATTACAATAATATTCGCCTCGGGCTATAATATTTTCAGAACATATCGCATCTTATTCGTCAGCTAAAATGTATTCTTATTTAATGAATTATCTATTGTAGAAAATGGAATAATATGAAATATCGGATTTTCTTCAGAATACGACTTTTGATTTATATTAAATTGGAAGGCTACTTAAAAGATGAAGTCGCATCAACGCTAAATTTGTATTTTGCCTACTTGTATTTTGCGGATATATTAACATTGAAAAGAGAAGCTGTTCTTGCACCTTTGGATACATGCTAGTCAGTGTATTTCTAAATGTCCTTCAAATTGTAATATATATGCATCAAGTCTTCGTGGATCATAAGATTCGCGAGCAATGTTTGCATAATATGGATTGTGAAACCATACAAGAATGAGGAAATTAACAATTATGCCCCTGTATAATTTGATTTGAGTTTAAGGAAAGAAACATTTTATTATTTTGTTCCCTTTATAATATACCACATCGAATAAGAAAATGCTACATATATTAAAACGGGAAATGGATATGACACAGTTCTGTTTTCAGGTTTGAGCATTCCTCCGGAGCAGAGAGATGCCCTTCTCAATATTTGTAAAGAGATAGAAGTAATTGATATTTTATTGTTTTTAACATTTAACATATGCTTTTGTAAATAATGATCTCATAAATAATCATTATGAAAGAGAAGGCATAAAAACAGCACTTCTGTAAAGCCATATAATTAGCTGTAATTCGATATCTTAGTTTTTACATAATTATTTTTTATAAAAATGAAGTGCATTACATGCCATTATTTACAGATCAGAAAGAGAAACGGAATTTTTATGTTAATATCCTAACTTTTAAATTGCGTTTTTGTTTTGATATTTGCAAGTGTAACTCCGTGGCTTTGGTGTATTTGAGACAGTATGGACTGTCACAGTATGAATTTTATGTAAATGTTATAGCGTACATTAATATAACTATATCTTTAGAAGATTTTACTATGAGCAATTTTAAATGTTAGCAAGAAAAGAGATTAGTCTCTTGATATATTAAACGTTTCATTATTGCTAAGGATCTTTCCAAAGTACCTTCATATGAGATTTATAAAAACGCGTACGTATGAGCTGATGAAAACAGTCTATATAGATTCAGTAACGTTCCCTTTGATAAAAGAGAAAATCCTGGGGTCCTTGATAATTTATTTACCTTAAAAATATATCAATCACCAGACAATGTAATCAGGTTTTATACAAACTCCATTTTAACCTCTTGACACTGAAATCGACATTATTAACCACATATATTATCCTATCCAAATAAATTCCATGTACATAATAACCCAATATAAAAGAAATTTACCAAAAGTAAACCTTTTACTATATTTTTTTCTCTCTACTCAGTATTATTAAGTTCGGCCTGGCCCCAAATATATATTTTTATCTTCGGGCTTGACATGGGGAACTTATATAAGTTTGGTGCGAAATAATTTTTACATGAAAAATTAAACCTCAAGAAAATTTAAAATGAGCCCCATATAAGGTATGACAGTTTTTAACGGAGTATATCGGACTTTATGCCCTCTCAAAGAATTTTAAGAAAGATATCAGACAAATGTGTAATAACATTTTATGATTCTTTAGAATACGCATTACTGTAATTTTCTTTTTCAAACTTTTGATGTATCGCAACTAAAGTTACTTCAAGTCCGTTGTTTGTTTGTTTCATCTTTATGAAAGGCATGTACACTTAAACGTCGTCGGTACAACATGCAAGTTGAAGTTGCATGCTGTTGTTGGTATACAGTATCTATCAATTATTATCATCATAAGAAAGATAGTATAGTAGATATTGTAACGGATTTAATAGACAATGTGTAAAATAAAACAGACATAAAGTTGTTCATGCAATATTACATGAGTCAACATACAACTTTAATTCCTATAGTATTAATAATACAAAATTAATATTAATATGACATCAATAGCCTTAAGTTTATGTACTTAACTGCGAATATTAATAGTCTTCGTAACAGTTAAAAGGAGACACAGCTAAAATATGTTATTTCCTCGTTTTGATCTTTTCATTTGTTATTCTGTAGATGTCCTCAAAATGAATACACTTGGCAGTAACAGGAACAAAACCTTTCTCCTTTAGAGAAAAGAATAAAGAATAAAAATAGTGATTTCTTAACTTGATTCACGTTGGTCCGGTTAGAGTGTAAAGATTTCGCAATAATTGTCACAGCGAATCTGGAAACATTAAGGAACATGTCAAAAATAAATGATTTTGAGCTTATTTTAGTCACATGATTAAATACGTCTCGATGATTATGTCTGCGTCTAATATTGTTCAACATAATAATAAGAAATTGCATAGATATATTTACGCTTCAAATACAAAATATATAGAATTTCTACAGAACTTCCTACTGGGACTTTAGAAAATGTCATTTCAGCGTGATTGGAGTACCTACGATTTTATTAATATTTAGGTCATTAATTTGCCTGAGTATTCTTGTAAAAAATAATAAAATGTATGAAGGAAATAAGATAAGACTCTAATTTCTACTTTTAGGAAAAGATACCGGCGGTTAATTGCTGTTGGCGTCTATGTAAGTACACGTGTGTTTCTTTCTGTAAATATATGCTTAACAAATGAATAAAAAAGATGCTTCCCATCAGCATATTTACTATCATTGTGATTTTAGTTCAATAGAAACAATAGCCTGATAAACAAATTTGTATCTGATGTGATAAACATTTGCAAGTTTAAATGAACTAAACTTTGCAATTGAAGTAATTTATTCAGTCTGAAAAATATAGAAAAAAAACGTTTGACTAAAAAAGCATTCGTTGTTATTTCAGGTATGGAATTTGAGGACACTAAAGGAGGCGTATTAGATAAAAAATACAAAGAGTTTGAAACGTGTGTACTCCAAAAGGATGGTAAGTAGTAATTATCAAATTATATTATCTCTGTCATTTTTATTCTGAAAATTATAATTTTGTGTATTCATTAATAATGTTTATAATTGACTATTTATATTTATAAACCAAAATTAGTTCTTAAATATTACATATTTGAGGTCAGAAAACATGTTCATGCATCAAACAGATTTTAAACAATATTACACTATGATAACAAACTTAACTGATGAATAAAATTTGATTTTAAACAATTGTTTTGCATTAAAGTTATACTTTGCCCAAATTTGATATTTAAAATTATTGGTAACTGCTACAGAGTATCTTTGTAAATATGAAATAAACATATTTTGTCTTCCCACAAAGATGATATGTTTTGTTTTGAAATCTACATACTGTATGTGGACATAATTCGAATATAAAGTTTCATTAAAACATGTCAGTTATTTCAAGAAAGGACGACCAACTTGACATTGACCCGTATGAGGGAATGCAGCTTCTCATTCATTGATCGTATATCCTTTTTTTTCTAATTAGATATATTCATTAATAGTTTTATAGGTTTCAACATATTCAACTCATATATGAGCATAGTATATTTTTAAGGATGTGCAAAGGATGAAACAAATTGACTCCAATTGATTGTGATAACCGTCTTGTTTTGTCTTCACTATATTTTACTGATATACTTCATAACATATTAATAAAAAATTAAATAGAAATGAAACATGAAAGATATCTAGATGTCACTTAAACTTACCTATCATCAAATTGAAGTAAATGATTATGTTAAAATGTATGGAGAATAAGAAGATTCTGTCTGTTCTATTATTTTATCTTAAATTGGATATTCAAACACAGTCATGTTGAAATGACCAGAGCTCAAGTATGAATGCTGGTTTCAGGGAAGGGTCATTGTGAAATAAAATACTTAGCAATATTATTGAAACAAACAGTTCAAAGGCATTTACGCAATAACAATAACAAGTATGGAATATCACTTAAGAGTTACCTTTTAATGATGCGAAAACATACAATATCATCAATAGAAAATAAGTTTTTATAAATTAATAGTTATAGATTGGAAACAAGTGGAAGAAAAATTACGACAGTTTTTATTGGAGTATGACAGTACTAAAAGTGATGGTATGTATTAATTCGTGACCAATTCAATATCAAATGATCACAAACTTTATAAATGTCCATATTCTATTTTAAGTTTTAACAAGTTAAACCGGAATGACAACGTACACAATATTTATCTAAATACTGTAGGTTCTAACACGTTTGGCTCGTAATATTTAGCTATAATATATATTCATGAATGATGTGAGCCTCCTTATTTAAAGCAGAGAAAGATTGCTCTTTATCTTATTAAAATAAATTGTGTTTGATCGGGAATATTGATCAAAATAATGCACATAATTAAGCAAAATCATATTATCAAAACTATTTACCTAGCTGATAATCCATATTGTTTCTGATAAATGATGTGATCATCCTTCTTTAAAGCTGATCAAGACTTCACTTTAATGCATTAAAATACATTGTGATTGATCGGTACCTTTAGATATATTGTTCAATAAATGCATATAATCAAGCAAAATCATATTATTATAACAATTTTTATTTTCTCATTTACATAGCTGATATTCCGTATTATTTCTTTCAGAATTGAGGTTTACGATCAAGTCGACTACCTGGCGTAAAGTGTTCTGGACTCACGGTAAGCATTTTTAGATGCGTCTAAGATTTGTGCATACCATAATATTGGATGTACTTTACAGCGAAAAGAACACGCATCGTCGCATTGAGCTCTTTAATATTCGGAAATGATAGAAGCAAAAGTAAAATATAAGGACACAATTCCTCGTGTGATGTATCCTCGTTATCAAATAGTTCTATATATGAACACGGACATGAATTTCACTGCTGCTTATTTCAAATAAAGCAATCAAGCTATTGATAATAAATCATGATGATATTAATTTAACACATTTCCTCCAAAAGGAATGACTTACCCGGTCCTTTTGGCCCATGAATGCAATGAGTCTCAAATAATATACATATCGTTAATGTCGTTTCTTATAATTAAATAAGAACTGATATCAATCGGACAGACACAATAAATTGAACGCATAAATGTTCTCATTAGGATAAAATATCTCTGAACTACCGACCACAATATGTCATACCATTTGTGCAAACGGACAGAAATACAGATAAATCATCTGGGAGAAAAACAGACATTCATCCAGACGAACAAGGAGAAGGCCGGACTGACAGAAATACGTAAACGGATGGACGGACATTCAATTATTGACTGATTTTTGCATGACAAATAGAAACTTATATAACTTTATTATTGTCGTGATCGGTTCCATTATACAAGAAGTAACACAACTTTAGTCTGTATCAGGTAATTGAAGATCTCTTTCCGGCACGTTTAGATAATGTTGTTTATTTCACCATCTTGTTTCTCAAGAAATTTTTTTCATCTTGAAACTATTTATAATTTCATATCTACATAGTTTAATTTGCCAGTATATGGTTACATACCAAATATGTTTAAGTACATAAATAAGTTTATGAAAAACATTTTAATGTTACGAATGCAAAAAAGAAATTACTCAACTTATCTATTTTCTGTGAGTCAGAGCTTTGCGCATGAGTGTGTGTGCGCGCGTACGTATGTGTGTTTGTGTGTGTATGTGTGTACGTACGTGCGTGTGTGCCTGTGTTTAAAATATTCAAAGTGACGAAGTTGATGTAACTACTTCACTATGAGACTCTTCAGGTACAAGTTAACAAGAAAAATCATTTTTGTTTAGATACCTGGCTCTTATATTACTTATACTTACTTCATGTATTTTTTCAGCTTGCTATTGTAATATATTTAAAAGTATTGTAACAGTTATTACTGAAAACGTAAGACGTCACTATAATATTATAATTCATAAACGTACAAAGATATTTAAATTGAAAACTTTGAAATTATCCACCTTGTATAAATTCCCGGAATTAAATTTCTAGTGTCAACATTATGAATGTAAATTGTAAATTCATACCCTACTATAAGAAGAATGTACTAAATGGAATCATTTGTTTTTTGTTATTTTTTTGTAATTTATTTCCAAATTATGATTAACATGAAATATACAAGAACATGAATCAAACACCGTCTGTCGTTACAGACAGGAATAAGTAGCTCTCTGGTAACTGTTGAGCGAAAACTCGTTACCGCCGTATACAGTTATCCTAGAGCTAGATATTCAGAGCTGAAGCGGCAGCCTGTGTATGACCCTTATATTCCACACTCCGCATTCCACATTCCGGATAAAAGTAATGGATCTAATCGACTGTTACAATTCTTTTCTGATATTGATGATCGACTTATGTTGTTGAAAGAATTCTATGAAAGTCGAATGCGCGTTTACCTCCTCTTCTGTGGTAAGCAAACGTAGTACCGATCTAGCGCAAACTTTTGACATGTTCGTATTTGGAGAATTAGAAGTAAGTTATTTATAGAAACCATTTCGTCAGTCAGTTTTTAGTCCCCTACCGGTTTAACCGGAGGGGACTTTAGGTTTACCCTCCGTCCGTCTGTCCGTCTGTCTGTCTGTCCGTCTGTCTGTCCGTCTGTCTGTCTGTCTGTCAGTCTGTCAGTCCGTCAGTCCGTCCGTCCACAAAACTGGATCCCGCGATAACGCAAAAAGTACTGAAAATATTTTTATGAAACTTGATATATGGATAGATGGCAGTATGGAGATTATGCACGTCTTTTTTTTTTCTTCCTATGTTGAAAATTCTGGTTGCTATGGCAACAAATAGTCTGAAAATATGGCAAATTTAACACATAAACTGGATCCAGTGATAACTCAAAAAGTACTGAAAATATTTTTATGAAACTTGAAATATGGGTAGATGGCAGTCTGGAGGTTATGCACATCTTTTTCTTTTCTTTTTATGTTGAAAATTCTGGTTGCTATGGCAACAAATAGCCTGAATTTCAAGATTTCTGATTTAAATTTTTTCAGATTTTTCACTATATGTTCTTTATTTCTTAAGGTGTTTACTTCAAACTTTAAATATAAGTTTCTGGTCATCAACCACATCATATGTGACAAGGTTTATAACTCTAGCACAAAAAATATCAGTATTACCTCCCTTGAACTTAGATTTTTTAGGGGAAAAAATGTTGTCTTTTTTAAATAACTTCTTTATTTCCTAATGTATCTACTTCAAACTTCATATATATGTTTCTTATTATCACTCGACATTTTTGAGAAGGTTAAATACTCTAGCAAGACTATTTCCAGAATTATGTCCCCCTTGAACTTTTTTCGAAAGATTTTTTTCGAGAAACTGGTATTTTCACTCCAACTTCTTCATTCCTTATAGGATTTACTTTAAAATCACACATCGTAATAATATGACAAGGTTGTATAAACATAATTTCCTTACAAAGCATGGAAACTTAACACATTACTGTGATATAGACAAACTTATTTTATTATGTTTTGTGGTCGATATTTTCAAATACAGACTTCATCCTCAAATTCATTATAAATGGCAATACACAGGAGTGTATGACAATTAAAGAACTTTTTGAGGGACCGGTAGGGGACTACTGTATTGCCCGCAATACTATCAAATGCTTGTTATATTGTGTTATTTTCATTATCAATTTAGTTTCTTCACATATTTTCCTTGTAATTATATGCAAAAATGTATTCTGAAATTCTTTCAGTTGGATCAATTCCAGTATCCGTCCAAAAATGCTTACAATTATGTGAGGAGTTAGAGGTAATACATATATATACATATACATCTATATATCAAATTTTGCAAAACTTTTTCAGTGAAATGTACGTATACATAGCTGTGGTATTGATCTCGTATACAAAATCAAATGAATGTATTTATTGAATATATTTGTAAAAAAAGTAAAAGGGTGTCTTACCACAAGTTTAAAGAACATTAAAGAGTTTTGCCTTCCCTTATTTATTGAGACTTGAGGGAAAATATGGCTAATATTTAATAATATCAATTCTTTCCATATACAATGGAAGTTTTATAATATTATATTATATATATGTTATTATATGCTTGAATTAATTTTATGTTTGGAACTTATTTTATAACTTTCTATCCATGTATGTACTACATCATTTATTCAGGCGAAGCTAGAGCAGGTGTATGCTAAAAATATATTGTCATATGCTTTCGACAATTCATTTCTATACAAATTACATAATTATAATTATGTTTAAAACTTAAATTATCAATTATAGTGAATCATGCAATTGTGAAGCATGAACGGAAATATAAGCGTTTTTCTTTTCACATTCAACTTCTTTTCTTATAGAAAGCATATATCTTTAGGAGGATCCCATTAAGTAAGTAAGGTCTTTTATAATTTTATAACATAACACATAACACGAGGAGTTATTACGAGTTAGACATGGAATTTGTAAAATCAATTATATCTTTTTCTGATTAGATTGTTGATAATTTAAGCTTTCTTGATTCTTTTATAATTTTCTCTTTTATTTGTGTTTACTCATATATAATTTCTATAATTTAAGTTGATGGCTACGATCCATACATTGGAAGATGTGAAAGAGTGGGAGAATATGTGCTTAATATGAGTATGTCCAACGTTTCATATTGTTAAAGGGCCAAAATTCAACTTAAGATCTTCTGGAACATTTTGCCATCTGTATAGGGTTAAGCGGTTTTATGCATACGGCAAAAGACTTGGTCCAATTAGAAATGTAAATTGGAATGTTTCGGTTGTCAAAGTTTGTATAGCTAGGATATGTTTAAAGGTTAGGATCTGTACACGCTTCTACAGTCACTAACAATACATATTAATATCCGCCTTCAGTGCCAATCTGTATCAGACCCGTTTATATCAAGTTTTAAATGATTAAGCAGTAAGGTTATTTTGAAAAGATACCTCCACATTTTATTTAACGAAATCATTGTCTTTGATATTTTTTTTAATAGGTCTACATCTGATTAAAGTAAAATATACATGATGTATATAAACTTTTTTTTGTTGATAAATTATGGTAAAATATTTGTTAACAGTTACTGTTTATTCTACTTAAAGTTAAGTGTGAATGACATTTTGGCAATTTGCCTGTATACTTACCAAGAGCATAATTAAATTAAAACATTTTTTCGCAGGCTGTTGCACAAAATAATTTATGTTGAGGTATAATTGTTGAATTATACTCAAGAAGAAACGGGGTTTAAATAGGCTTGATTTGTAAAAAGTCGAGTTTCATGTTCGCTCTTTAACTTACTGGTATTTATTTACTAATAATAGTTACATTCTAAAAGAATAGCACAAATCGGTTTAGAAGTATGTCAAAAAAGAAAAAGAAAAAATGCTTACCACAAGGATGTTTAAACTGTTTAGGATCATTATATTTCAAATAAACATGGTGAATAAAGCAATTATGTTCGTAAACATTATCTTCGTGAGCATGTAATTTGAACAGAACATGAATTAAATATCGTTTCACAACTTCTTATGAAAGTTAAATTACAAAATATATGTTTGTATTATTGTTTTATATTTTATTTAATTCAAATCTAATAATGGTTAATACAGAATGTCAATCATAGGAGCAGCAAGGCTGCAATCATCACAACTGAAACATATATGTGTGTCCAATTATATAATATTTTAGACTATGAAAAACAGATATCATGTTATTTAACATAATGATCAGCTAGTGTACCTCTGCTTTAGAAACCGTGGATTGGGACGAAATCAGAAAATTCTTGTGGGAAATAATTTTCGACTGGAGAAGAGGTATGTAATTTTAATTATTATTGATCATTTAAAAATAAATTATTTTATCTTACATTATTCACTATTGCGCTATTGCGTGCCACCACATTTTTTCGGTCGAAAATATTAATATTGTTTTATTATAATTATGGTAAGATTTCCTGTCTGTTTTCGGTTAACAACATATCCTTGGACATAGAACAAAATTTAAAATAGAATCACATTTTATTAAAAATCCGGAAACAAAGTGATCCCTCGGAAGCATTAATCACAACAAAATTACAAGAGAATTGCATACTCAGTTTTATTGAGTCTATACATGAGGGATAAAAATACGTGCAACATCCCTCACGCCCCTAAGCATCGGCTTGAGCGGTACTCAATTATCAACACTCAATAGTGCTGGCATCAATGATCCCGAAGGAGAAGAAAAGTATAACAACTCTGAAGTGAAGTACGGGGCAAATTGTTACAGCTGCCTCACAGTTTTTGACAACAGTCCTGCTGTTGTGAAGTATAAAAATCTGGAAACAAAGTGATCCCTCGCACACATTAATCACAACAAAATTACAAGAAAATTGAAGACTCGGTTTGATTGAGTCTGTACATAAGGAATAAAGAATACAAGCCCCAAAAACTTTGTCATATTTTACAAAACGGCCTTTTCTCGTTTGATGTATCATTACTTATTCATTGATATATTTGAATCTAGAGCAGGCATTGTGTTTTAATAAAAATATATGTACTCAGAGGATAAGTTTAGTCAGTAGGCAAACTTGTTCGGTTATTTTGATTACACTACTTGTAAATTGCAAAAACAGTTACACACCATAATATTCATTAAAAAGCCAATACATCTTAACGATTTCAACAAAAAAAAAACGAAATTTACTATAGATATACTATCAATATCTAAATTAAAATTCTGAAAAAATGTCAGTATATCGTATGTCCGCCTGGATAACAGCGAAACAACGTCGCCTCATACTGTTTATGTGTCGTCTGATGACGCGTGTGTGTGCGCCCATTCCTCGTGGAAGGCACGCTCGATGTCATTAACGTTGTTGATATCATTCTGCTCACGCAATCTAAGGGCAAGGTGGTCAGATTTTATGATCCGGAAGGCCATTTGAGCGTGTAAATGTTGTTTGCCGCCAGGACGTTACGTATGTAAAGAGCAGTATAACAACGTGCATTATCCTGCTGAAAAACGTCAGCATTACCGTTGTGTATGTAAGGTACAACGGCAGGCACGATATGTCAGCACAATAGCGCGCGGCATTTAGGCGTCCTCGAACAATTTTCCGTTCAGTTTTACCTTCATGTGATATACCGCTCAAGATCATGACATCTCCGCCACCCTAACCAGTACATTCCACATCGTTGGCAAGATCAAAAAAAGGAAAAGTTTTGCATTTATATATCGGAAGTCGAGCACGCTTAACGACTGAAGCTCAACACTGATTTCCTTTATGAAAAAAAAATATATAGAATTAAGATTAAGTAAAAGGTTGACAATAGAGTAAGTGAAAATTTTGCTAAGTGTTAACATTTTTTAGTTTGTTTCAATACTTTTACATTATGGATACTGCCCTTTTTGCGCAATTTAAAAAGTTAAAGTTATTTTTTATATTTTCTGTTTTGTTTGTAATGAAATATCAATGAAATAAAAACCGATATTGTTCGCTACAGTTAATCAATAAAACAGCAAATACGCTCGATTGCTGCACATGCAAAGGAATAGATCATTTTTCGTAAATCAGTGTCACGGTCTAGAACAATTCACTTAAGGGGAGGACATGTGTAACGGCCAAAAAACTCAGTCGATAGAGCTGTGTACAGTGTATGTCACTTTTGATGAGAATGATCATGGAGTCTTGTCTACGGTTAATACAACTGTACATCTTTTAAGGCATATATATAAGTTATTAGTTTCCTGTAAAAGTGAAAGCTCTAGTACTTATGCATAAAGAAGGGAATTCTGGAGCCCTCAACTCATCTTGCATTTTCATGTCAGATGCAATTTTAGCATGGGTAAAACAAATGGAAATACCAGTATGATATGCTGGAATCAATTGTCTTTAACACGCTCTCAGCAAAGTATAACCGCCGCGATGGCGCCATGTGAGTGCCTGAACAAAGCAGAGTGTTTTCGCCGTAAAAGAACTGAAAATCCATTTAATAGAGATATTCTCTAACTTAAAGGTCATTGCAACGCAATAGAATGGCGAGGAAGTTCCATAGCAACGCCTTGATATCTATGAAGACGCATTTGAAAATGAATCAGGGTGTTCTTACCCATTGGAAGCAAACATTCTCTAACTTAAAGGTTATTGCAACGTAGTTGAATGGCGAGGAAGTTCCATAGCAACGCCTTGATATCTATGACGGCGCATTTGAACATAAAACAGTGTGTGCTAACCCAACAGGAACGCGGGTAGTGTGACTGGGAATTAATATTGGTGTTTGTTCCGGTCAAAGTTTATCACAATTCTGCATTTTATCTAAAAATTACTTTTTAAACTCATTTTCCTGCGTTATTGGTTATACATGGTGCATATGGGGTTACTATGACAAAGTAGCATAAAGTAAGATGTATTACAACGACAAATAATTATGAAAGTTAATGTCTGTAACATGATGCTTAATTTAAATTAATGAAAGCGTAATGTAATGTTTAACTCTGACAAGATAAGCAATGTTTCAAGCTTCGCGTGCTTCCTTCATCTTTGGAATGAGTTGCTTCCTGCGTGCTTGGACTTATTTCGGGAGCGAGCTGGGCAAACACTGAATAAGGGGTGTCTGTGAGTTGAACAGATTTAAGGGCATCTTTAACTAAGATTTTTGAGTCAGTGTCAAAGTTAATGATAATTGGCCAAGTTTTTCTGCAATAGAATTGTTCGGAGACCGATGGGCACGATTAATGCGAATTCCGGATCAAGCATCTTTGATATTCAAAACTTTCTCATTAAAAACACATACACTTTATCAGAGCAATTTTCGGGTGCAACAACCCCTGCATATGAATTCGGTGTTGTGATCATCGTAGGTAAAGAAAGAGCCTGCGATTTTTCGACGCAGTTTTTTATAACAGGTCCATGGTCTTGTCAGACTTTGTTTTTCTGTCAGCGGCGGCTAATCTTTTTATACAAATACTGGGCCATTCGTAACTTTATTATTGGTCACCTTATATTCGGCATGTTTATTCTGCTATTTCATTTGTCATTGAAAGACATCTAAGTTTGAGTATATGGGTGAATGAAAAATAAAATTATATAAACAAATATCCTTTTTTCTTAGAACTTGGCTTTCAAGGCATTACTGTCGAGGATCTGGATGGTGAACAGCACATCATCTATAACAATATGTATCATAGATATGGAAATATGGATTATCTCGTAAGTTCAGTTGTGGATACAACTGGTCTTTCAAAAGAAGATTTTGTATTTGTGTACGGAAAGAGTCTTATATTCCCATGGGAAAATTTGTACATACCTGACGGTGCAAATATAAAGCTTCTTCCGTTAAAGAAAGGTATGTAAATCATGAGCAAATGTAGCTATTTGCAAAAATGTATAAGCTCATATTATAAACTAAGTCATTATTACAGCAGTTGATATAAGTACGATGCTATTGTAAAAAATCGATGAAATCAAAGATCGACATTGCTCGCCACAATGTTTCAATCCAATCAATGAAAGGGCAAATCGGTCATTTATTGTACATGCAGATATATATTTAGCCTTGTTCGTCCGTCCTTCCGTCCATCTGTCGGTTCTCTTTTGTGAACTAGAGTCACATAAAACTCAAGGAATGTTGATCAGCATGTGCAGTTGTGCACCTGGATATTTTCGTGTGGATTTATTCAGTATTTTTAGAGTTATTGCCCTTGACTTAGTAAAAATTTGCAATTTTCAACTTGTGTCGCATGTAAATCAAAAAGTATTTGACCTATAGTCATGACACTTTACAGGATTGTTGACCAGCATGTGTAGTGGTGAACTTGGGTATTTTCGTGTGGATTTATACAGTGTTTGTAGAGTTATTGCACTTGACTTAGTAAAAATTTGCAATTTTCAACTTGTGTCGCATGTAACTTTAAAAGGATTTGACATTGAGTCTTACAACCTTACAGGAATGTTGATCAGCACGTGTAGTTGTGCACCTGGGTATTTTGTCTGTTTTTATTTAATATTGTTAGAGTTATTGCCCTTGACTTAGAATTTTTTTAACTTTTTAACTTGTGTCGCATGTAACTCAAAAAGGATTTGACATAGAGTCATGAAACCTTACGAGAATGTTGCTCAGCATATGAAGTTGTGCACCTTGGGTTTCGCTTGTGGTTTTTTCCAGTATTTGAAGAGTTATTGCCATTGACTTAGTAAAACCGTTTCATTATGTTGTGTTATTTGTTCCTTGAGTGCTTAAGTTAGAATCAACCAACTTTACAGGAATAATGATCAACATCACTTAATTACAGAAATAATGATCAACATCAATGTGAAGCTATGTACCTGGAATTTTGCATGTGGATATTTTTCAGTTTTTTAGAGTTACTGCCCTTGACTTACAGTAGTATAAATTTGCAATTTTCAACGTGTTCATGCATAGCTCAAAACGAATTTGACTTGATTCCTGACAGTTTACAAGAATGTTGGTCAGCATGTGTTCTTATGCACCTTGGGGTTTGCTTGTGGGTTTATTCAGTAGTTGTAAAGTTCTTGCCCTTTACTTAGTAAAAAAAAATTAGTTTTAGAATTGTGGCACATGTTGTCCAAAACATATTTGGCCTAGAGTCATAAGATTGACAGAACAGTGGCGTGTGGGGGCACCCGTGTCCTATGGACACAATTCTAGTTATATTATTGACGTCATGTTAAAGGTTTAAGGACATCAATAATATACAAATACAGAGTTGCTCTACATTGACACAAATCGTTAATCACAGGTTCATGGCCTTGTCAAATTCTCTTCTTGCGTCACTTGCGCTTCATGCTTTTATACAGAAATCGGGTCGATAGTATAGTTATTATTAACCACCTTACATATCGCATGTTTCTTCTGCTATTTTATTTGTCATTGAAATAAAAAATCTAAGTTTGATGACATAAATAAACTTAAAGTAATGTTGTACAAACAATTCATTCCTGTTTTCTTAGAACTTGCTAATCAAAGTATTGTTGTCGAGGATCTAGATGGTCAACAACACATTATCAATACAAATTGGGTGATGTACAACGATGATGTTGATTATCTCGTCAGACAAGTTGCACGTACAACTGGCATTTCAAAAAGAAGATTTGTACTTGTGTACAGTGAAAAGCTTATTGTCCCAGGACAATATTTCTACATACCTAATGGTGCAAAAATACAGCTTCTTCCTGTGAAGAAAAGTATGTACGAAAAGAGCAAATGTTATGACTTTTAATAAATTTACGAGTATATGCTCCTTCGAGGCATTTTTGTTAATTTAAAAATGTATACTATGCTCATCCTCGACTAAAATATTTTAATGACGCTGTATACTTGTATAATTCATATTATTTGCACCGTTAGTGTGCATGATATTTAACATGACATATCTTCGTTGTGTGAATTCAAAATATGTTTTTTATTTACAAAGAGAGTGTGTAGTAATTATCTATATTTTTTAACATCAAATTTGAGCATAGCATATTCTTAAAACAGCCGACCTTAAATCTATATCTTACATATTCTATGGATAAGAATTGACAGGCAATGAGAGCGGAAAAAATGTTTATAGTAATTACTATATCATTTTGCTAATTTGACTGGTTTTATTGGAATTGTAATCTACACGACCTTTACCGGTACGTCTTATAATTATCTTAATATTTCAGTCGAAAAATATATTGGTATTTTTTATATTTCTTCTAATATATATATATATTATGTTTCAGACCAAAACCCTCCTACAGACCTTACTACATATGTGAGGGGTATATGCAATGGCATTTATGGGCAGATCCACAGACTGTGTAAGATTTTGCTATACGAGTAATGATCAAAATTAACCGGACTAGAAAGATTACTCATTATTTGTTTAATGCATTTACGCAAAAAAACACGTAACATAAACGGAAATCTGTCCCTACATGATACAAAACAATTAAAAGCATATAAATGTAGAGCGTTCCGGCATACGATATAACCTTAAGAGTTGACGTAAACGACGTCATATGAGTATTGTCTGGGTGACGAAAAGGTTTTCCTGTAATGACGAAAACTTTCATCCTTTCAGCTGCGACTTGAGTGTTGGAAAACTCGCACCTGTATCGATCCATAACATGTCTTTAATACGTATACGAAGAAAAAATAACATAATACGACTCAGAACAAATGTGTCATTATATATAAATAAATATAACGCATATCCGATTTTGAACGTGACTGTTGACAAAAAAAAGACAAAATTAAATGAAAGACAATTGATGATTTTGTTAAATGTATAAAAACTATAAAACATTTATGCAATTCTAACAAAAATATAACTATTGATGCACTAACCTTCCTTATTTTAGAATCCTTAGTTACTGCACCGTCCAGTAGTTAATGCCATACATCGATGATAATGTTCGCATGTCAATCGTCTTTTTCCAACGTCTAGGTGATTGACGTCACCAACGTATATAAACGTTTCTTCTTTCTGGCAATCCCTTCATTGTCAGCGACCCTTCAATTCTTAATCAATCGTTTATGTCAAATAAAAAATGAGTTGTGGCTTACTGAATATTTCCCTTGATAGCCAGAATATTTTTGTCCGTTTCAGATGGTGTCACATCCAGACATGGGGCGATTACTTGACAATTGTAATCAATTAAATTATGATTATTTGTCAAAATGCTTGATTAAATTAAATTACTGATTACTCCATTTTGACATTGTAATTGATTAAATTACTGATTACTGACAGGAGTAATCAGATTACATTTATGATTACTGATTACATGATATATATCAAACGCAAAGTGTGCATTTAGCTCTCACATTGCCATCATCAGAATTTTTTCTGGCAATATGAAGTATTTAAAAACAGCAGGCATATTTCCTGCCATGCTTGTGTATTGCTTTCTTTTCGATATGATGAAAAATTGTTTGTACTTTTTGCTTTTACATGGACTTAATAATACCAAAATGTAACGGAAAATATAACCATATCTCACTTTTGTCAGTAATTGCAGCTTATACTTGCTCTTTACTGAACCTGTAGTCTTCTCAATAAGTGATAATATACCCATCCAGGCCATTGTTATAATTTCACAGCTTTTCGTCACCTTATTAAAACACAGGTGTCATCAAATCTGACCTGGGCGACTGCATTTAATTCAGTAGGCATTGACACTGGTCCTTTTTTAACCTTTATATGTATGTTTGTTCAGCAATTTTTTTAGCTTAACGTGTATTGTAATCATACATGTAATCATTGTGATTACTGATTAATTGGTCATGTAATTAATTAAATTATGATTAAATTACAGGAAAACAATTATGATTACTGATTACTGTGATTACTAAAAAATTGTAATAAATTAAATTAAATTAAATTACCGATTACGATTGCCCCATGTCTGGTCACATCTTCCTTTTGACAATTATATCTTATTGGTCGAATTTCGAGACGTTCTGTCATAAAATCTTACGCGAATATTTATTTAACAAACGATGCTGAAATTCTTATTGCAAATGTATTCATTTTTTTTCCGACAATGTCATAGACATGATGCTTGACGTATTAGTGTGTTTTTAATCTTTATATGCCATGTCGTAAAATAAACGCGCAATAATACGCCTTTTAGAAGCGCATATTGATGCACTGCGCCGGGTGTGCGTTAACATCGTTTTTGGGTTCGCTGTTACGGACAGATAAGATGAAGAATCAGTTAATAAGTATTTGTTTTCCGATTAAGTCTAATATGTTACAAAAGGTAATAGTTTAAAACAACTTTAATTGACAGCCCCAGTTCGGTGTCAGTTTTATCAACTCTCGTAGATATCCATACAAATATTACTTTGAACTTATAAGGGCAGCCTGCTTATAACTTATGTTTCAGATATTATGAACAATTATGTGATATTGATAGGCATTTTGTTTTGAATATGTAATAGAATGATATTGTTAAAACTATCCTATCCTTTTCTAATATATACACCATTAAATGATCAAAATGAATAAATAATAAAAAAAAACAAAAATAAAACATCAAGAACATTATACCGGTCCAGTAAATTATTATGCAGCGTTACATTTCAATCAGTACAAAATGTATGACAATACTGAAAAGAAACTATAAATTTCACCCTTAGTATATTTGTATTTTTTCTGTTAATCAGTCATGAGTCCTGTTAAACAAGGAATACTATAAAATGCAATTTGATAAAGTGATTGCAGTTAATTGAGATTACTATAGTCTGAAAGTTTTTGCTTTCTTTATTTTCAGTATCGAACTTTCCCAAGGCCTTTGAAGACACTACACGTTTACTCTCTGAGAAGGATTTTGTGAGGATATCTCAGTTAATAGGTAAAGGATGGGGAATGCTTGGAATTGAGCTTGGTCTTACGAAGGTGAAGTTGCAACAGATAAAAGAAGACAAGCAAAATGCAGTCTCACGTATATTTGAAATGCTAAACCAATGGGGTCAAACACGAAAAAATGGAGCCACAGCAGGTCAACTGCTTTCTGCTGTCATGAAAAGTGGAGTAAGCTGTGAATTCGAAAACCTTAAACGGGCCCTTCTAATTGGCTTGTAAGAGAACATTCCTTACCTACAGAAACTAACAATGCTTTAATCATGATCCTGTAAATAAACTTTTGACTTGTGATATAAAATATATTTAATCGGGACAAGAGACGAAAAAAAGGAACCTCTAGTTATTTGTCACATATTTGTGGACTTATATTATAATGTCAATATTCATATATCTTTATATCTTCTGCAAAATAATCACATCAACTAGATAACTCATTCGTAAAATAACACACATACCTCCTTTTTATCAACAGGGAGATATTTCTCAATACTATTAATATTTATCAAAAATAAGATAATATAATTTTACTCAGTACAATAACCTTTTATGGAAATCAGCTTTTTCGAAGAAATTCTTTAAATTATGTTTTGGAACCATGTTTTAAAGATTATTTGCTTAATTTGTTTTTAATTGCATGCTCTACTTAACACTTGTTTCTTATTTAAGCAAAGCAGCTTGATTCAGTTACTTTACATATTAGTATTTATTATGAAAGGATGTTTTTTGACTGGCAATGGTTCACTGTTTAAAGCTTCTGTTTAACTAATTTGTCTTTATATTTGTTTTTGGTATATATGAATTGAGCCTAGGTGATTACATACACTTTAACGTTTATCAATATGGTTGTGTCAAAATAAATTATAGTATCGGAATTGTTTGATTTTATTAACCTGTCAATTACATACTGATTACACGGTCATTGCTCACAATATATTAATCTTTGATAGATTTTCGTTAAGTTCAGTGATATGTACACAGTAAGATGTCATTTAAATTAATTTGTATCTGTGAAGTTATTGTACTGAGCGTTATAGCACAATAGGGAAAGCTGCGCATTAATAATTTCTAAGTGCTTTAAGTTTTGTTAGATGCATTGGTGCATGTTTCTTTCTTATTTATATTTTCAACGTTATTAAGGCTATAGTTGTTTAGTATGTTTTTTTGTTTAAATTTAATATTTTGTGCTTTTATTTGGGTAAAGTCCTTACTCTTTTGAAATAACATGGTTTAAGTATTAATACTTTATTCATTCGGATTAAAATCAATAAATGTCATTTCAATGCAGTAACGAACAATGCAAATCAAGACAAAACATTGTTTCTAAGTTGCTTCATATTCGTGTAGAAAATCATGCAAGCACTCTGCAATTTCCTTTAAAATATATTTTGCAAAAATAAAGATAGGTCTAAAACATTGGCAAAAGTAGTCATCGAAAAACAGACCTCTCACATATAAGGTAATTACTTAAGCAACAGTGTTATTACGGATATATCGACAAACAATAAATTAAGCTGGACCAGTTCGACTATAAAAACATTAATCACATACTCCATCTTAATTCTCGTAAACTACACGGACACAACCGAAGTGGGATCGATTATTCATAATTGACAGGTCAATGAAATCAGACTATAACAACATTCGAATGTAGCAAAAAAATCTTACTCTTGATTTATATAAATAAAATGAATATGTTTATGAATTTTGATATAACACTTGCAATCATACCTTTATAATAGTTAAGCGCTCCATAACATTTATGAAACCATACTATGATTTTATCTTTTTTAATGTTTTGTAAAATATGAATACTTTTTGATGCAATGTATTGCTATATTCATGCATTCTACGTATTTTTCATGTTCACGTAAATTTGTACAGAATCAGTCCAAACAACAACAACAACTACAATGTACAGTACTTAAAATATATTTTCGGTTTAATTTGTCATTGTGCTTAAGGGTGTAGAGGTTCGATATGTCTTTTGATTGATGAAACGTTTTTTTGCTTGTGACAAAGTGTTTGAAAGTTTTCAGAACGAAATATGTTTTCAATTTATTTTGCTTTATTTTGAGAGTTTAGTTTAAAATTGAAATTCAAATTAGCATACAATAAAATAATTATGAATTAACTTTCAGTTAAGGTTTAAAATACTACTCGGGCGGACTGGTACTGTTTCAAAATTTAATATTCAAATTTCTTTTGTAAAAAAAAATCTGAATTTTGTATTTATCAATAGAAAACTGATAATTTTACATAAAAGGCTATATATTTTGTTATGTATGTTATACTAGCATCATGTATCATGTTCAGGGCATAATGTACGAAAACTGTTCCATTAAGTCATGGATAACAGCGTTTAAGTACAAATTACTAAATTAGCTGTTTAGCATTTTCACTGAGTCTAACTATCGAGATAACTAGCATCAATCAAATGTAATCGCTATTGTGCTTTATTTTATAGACTATGTCACTCAAAGACCTTTCAGTTTTTCAACATTATGGAATTTCTAAATGATATTCATAAATCATATCGTTTAAAAGGTTAAGTACTTTTAAAGATGCAGCAGGCCGCTTTGAACTTTTCAATATACTTAATAAATTCCGATTAAACATAAATAGATGAATTATGACACAGCCGATGCTATAAAAATTGTTAATACTATGATGCTTACGAATATGAGTAAATGCACCTAATAAAACGAAGACAATCATTTGATATTATAGCAATGAAATATTCAGCCCAGTAATTGGCGTCCGCGCCGAAGCGCGGCGCCCCTTTATGGAATGAAATCAGATTTTGTGAAAGGGCGACAGCAACTTCTCGAGCCTTTTAGTCGGTCATGATAAAAGCCGATCATTCCGATCGGTATGAGGGTGCTTGATTATTAATTAAAAATGAAATGTCGCGATATGTACAATGAATAGCGAACTGGAGATTTTCGCAATGCAAACATTTTTTTTTCAAATGAAATAACCTTTTCTGTCAATAAATCGCGCTCTTCGGGGTATTTTTATTTATCATTTTGTAGTACACAGTGGGTTATTATGGTATGTTATTGTTGTACATGTACATGTATCCGAAAGCTGTAATAAATAGAATGATGAGTTGATGACCTAAATATTCCGAAAATCTATTTATAGAGGGATGTACTACTTTCGGTAATTCCCGGTCTCTCCTGGTCTATTTTGACCGGGATTTACTAGTGACCGGCGAATAGTACGTCCGGTCTCTCCCGGTTTTGGAATAGTTATTTGATATCGTTACAGAACAAATATTTTACAGATAAATACGCTTTGTTTCAAAATGAATGTTTGTCACTTAGTTTGGTTACAATAATTAATAAACACAGATCAACTCTCACATTTATTGATTATTATTATACATGAACATACAATTCGAAAAAAACCAACAACAATAGTGTGTTTTATTTTTATCTATATGAGATAAAAACAATAAATATGTACAATAATTGAGAAAAAAGGTACATTTTTATAGTATTAATATGACACTATCAACTTTAAAACATTATATTTAATTTGTTATTCGTGTTTAGTAAAGATGCCGAGGATTTATTCAAAGTTACAAATTAGATTTTATGAATTATTCAATTGATTGATAATTTAAAAAATGATAAAGAAAAATACAAATGTACATGTATATGGTTTAAGAATAAACAATATTATATATTGAAAGATTAACCATAATTTACAGACTTTTTTCAGTTAAGTTTTGACTTATAATCGTCGGTCAATATGACAATTGAGTTCTTAAAATAGTAGTAAACGTAAAAACTCAGTATTAAAATAGCACATAAAACACAAAAAAGAAAAGAAAGCAATATTCATAAAATCTGATTTTTTTTATTAAAATGGATATTACAATTATTGTATAATAAACAATTATGCTCAACATGATCAACATGGTAATATAACCAGTGTCATATTTGTTACTAAGTGTGAACAGATACCTTAAGAGGGGGTCTTCGCTAACAGCGATAACATAATAAGGGACAATTACACAAGTGTGGTGTTGATCATGCGTTACACATATGGATTAGAAATGATTGTATACATGTATATCCGTTGCTATTAATAATTACGATCACAAAGAAATAACAAGTAATATTCTAATGTCTAGCATAGTTAATAATAATCAATGTCTTTCGTCCGTTCATTCATAAGTGATATACAATTCTGATAAAAACCAATTAACCATTGAAAAGTTTATAAGAATATCTTGTCATCATCCGATATATCTTCTAGTTCATCTTCACCTGCTGCATTTCTTGCTTGGACGCCCTTTGATGCTTTGCATCAATGCTTTTCTTGTTTTCATTTATTATAAAGTTAACAATGTCAAATATAGGAGCATGTGCTCTTTTTTTGGTAATCGTTAAATATAAGCGTACGATATGTTGTTTACCAAATAAATATATCTTAACAAGATTTGTACACTTCTCATTTATTGTCAAGATGCTTTCTTTATAATTGTTATTATTAAAGAGTATAAAGCTTTATCTGATGAAATATTTTTATGAAATAAACATTATCTTTGGAAAAAATATGTTTTTTCCTGCTCATATTGTCGTTTGTCGAAATATTTGTCGGTTATTTAACACACATGCAAACTTTACGGAAACACAATCAAATGTTTAGTAAAATTATTATGCTACTTTTTTAATAAGCCTTAAGCAATGATTTTAATCATACGCAATTTCTTCCAACATTTATCAACAGGCATATATTTTGTTCATGCAGGTATTTTTAATAATTCTTTTTTTTTCAAAATGATAACAAATAATTTGTAGACCGCAAACAGCATAGGTATAGCTTTGTACTCTTCAAATTGTATGTATATGAAATACATCTGAATAAAACATTAAAAAAAACAAAAGCATTTGTTTATTTAAAGTTTATTTTTAGTTTTACATTTCATCAAGGCATATTTACTTGTAAATATGTTTGTCTAAACAGCAAAACAGATTTCCGAGTTTTTGAATATTAACATTTGAGCAAGATGTTTTCACTCAATTTCTCTTCAATTCGTCTCATTAATTGACGTCATAATTGTTGCAATGACATTACTGGCACAATATATGGCTTTCTTTTCCAATTAGTATCATCGAATTAAAAATAGCCTGGCAAAATTGATTGTATGATGCAGCACTATAGAATATGAATTATTGCCCGTAATTCTCACAGCATTCTTTAAAATGTCACTGCGTTTTTATTGCGTACATACTGCTGTTTACGGTACTAGTTTAACCATTTTTATTGCGTTCTCACGGAATTGTCACGACAACCATTGTCTTGTGAAGATAAAAAATCCAATGTGGGGCACAATTAACAAAAAAGTACGAAAATGTACCATAAATGATGATCGCAGAACGCTTTATTACTACCAGGATTACTACCTGCCTACATAGTGTTACATAATTATTTAACATGACGGATACGATTAATGGCCTAGAACGTTCCATGTTCGGGTTGAGATTCAACTTTTTTTTACAAATCTGATGAAAACTTTTAATAGGTAGTGGAAAAAATGTTGCCGCTCAGATCGGAAAATTTAATCAACCGTCCGATTAGCGTAATAGGTAGAGCGTTGAAATGTGAATGAGCTGACCTGAGTCGTTCCCCGTACAGTGTATGTCACATTTGATGAGATTGATCATGGAGTACTGTCTACGTTTAATACAACTGTACATCTTTTCAAGCATATACATTACTTATTAGTTCCTTGTGAAAGTGAATGCACTAGTACTCAGTGTGGTAAAATGCTTGACAGTATGCCATAGTAGCGATGCCGTGGCTGAACTGTTCTCTGGTGAATTCAGAGTGGTTAAATGCAGTGATCCAGAGGATTGCTACCAAAATCACGACCATTTATATCCATTTACGAGGTATTCCGTACATTCGGGCGGTAATTTATATTCATATAGACTGATGTTATCTTAAGAACGCAATTATATTCTTATGCCTAATGGAGGCTATTTTGAAGCCCTCAACTCATATTGCATCTTCATGTCAGACGCAATTTTACCTCAAACTAACGGAAATGCCAGTATGTTATGCTAGAATCAATCTTTTTAACAAGCTCTCATCGAAGTATAACCGCCGCGACGGTGCCATGTGAATGCCCAAGCAAAGCAGAATGTGTTCGTAGTAAAAGCGCTGAAAACGCAATGGACACAGACATTCTCCAACTTCAAAGTTATTACGACGCAGTAGCATGCCAAGGAAATTCCATACAAGCCTTGATAAACATGAAGGCAAATTTGAAAAACAAACAGTTAATATGCTAACGGAATTGGAACGCGGAATAATGTGACTTGGAATTGATAGTGATAATTGTCCGGTCAAAGTTTATCAAATTCAGCATTTTATTTTAAAATTACTTTGTTAAATTCATTTTCCTGCGATACTGCTTATACACAGTGCTTATGAGGTTACAATAAGTATGGAACAGAATTAATGCATTTATTCTATCTTGCTTGATGACATTGGAACTTACATAATGCTTAATTCTATTTTGCTTGATGACATTGGAACTTGCATTATGCTTGATTCCATCTTGCTTGATGACATTGGAACTTGCATTATGCTTAATTCTATCTTGCTTTATGACATTAGAACTTGCATTATGCTTGATTTCATCTTGCTTTATGCTATTTAAACATTGCATTATGCTGGATTCCATTTTTATTATTTCATTCAAACATTTCGTAGTGACCAATTCTTTCATTGAGTGATAACTATTAAACTGGAACAAGCCATTTGGAAT